TCTCTTGGAGGTCTGTCCAATAAACTCAGTCTATAGATAAAAGAAACTGTTATCCTGCAATGTAAGGAGAAATCGACTAAGAGAAATGAGAAAAGTGAGAGGAAAATAAAACAAAGTAAAACTGTATGTGTGATCAGAAACCTGAATGGGTAAGAGCCCACGTGTCCTATCATCGATAATCCCTCGATGAGATTGTACCTTAAGTTCTTAAATTAGGTCAGTGGTGGTGAATTTGGATATTTCTTATGAGTTGTGGCCTGAAAATAGTTAGGGTGCTAAGCTGTTGTCGAATATATGGAAGTTTCTTATAAGGTGGTGGTTTTTGATGTGGCTTACAACTGGTTGAGGTGAAATAGTGTTCTAAAGGATATGTGTGTTCCCATGTTTTCAAACTTTTTCACCATATTTGATGTTTTGTTTGTCTTTACTTGAAAACAAGCAAAGGGTAAAGTGTGGGATATTGATATATCAATGTTTTTACTAGTTTATAACCTATGTTTTGATTCTTTGTTAAGTCAAATTATGTGTGTTTGAAGTCTTTTGGTGTTATTTAGTGTTTCTACATGGTCTAGACCTAACTGAATAAAAAGGTCAAATTGGATGCAAAAATGATATTGAAGATTCAAAACTGTGTAGATGAGCTAGAAGTTTAGCAATGGATGGAGGACTTGCTATAGTGAGACTGAACTCAATTTTTGACACCGTGTATAATATTATTCGTTTAAGGTCAATCTATCGGTTAGATCAAAGTTATGCACAATTTATTGAAGATTGGTCTTTATGCCGATTTTATACGAGAAGATAAACATTTGGTCACAAGAAGTGAATTTTACTGGAGTCAAAAAACAATTAATGTGTCATAATAGGGAGTCGAAGCTGGGTTTTGTGGGGTCAGAAACCGTATTTTACCAACTATGATACCAAATCTTTGATTATTCCCTATACACAACATCTTTATATCTTTTTTGTAGCGTCAAGTGACCCACTCCTCTCCAAGTGGGTCTCTCCTTAATTGATTCTCTTATTAATTACTAGGGGCGGGCCGCGCTACGCGCGGCGAGTGGATTCGTTAATATTTAACATATTGTTTTATTTAGAAAATGTAATTATATATATTTTATAGAATATTATTTATGTAAAATCGCTTTTATATAAAATTTCAGTAAATTAAACCTCAAAATCGTTTCAGTTAAATAAATTGTGTGTTAAGTAAGTTTTTGAAGAGAGATGTATAATACTGTTTATGGTTTATAAGAACGTTAAAGTGTGGAGAGACTATATATGTTAATATTAATTATGTTTGATTTCGATCTTTATGACTGTATTAATATGTTGCGGCGTGTATCATATTATATTGGATATGAGGTGTATGTGGTATTTTCATTGTTGTATGTTAGTTTGATAATTCTAAAATCCATAATTTGTTGGTTAATCGTGGTTTGCAATATTTTGGGATCAGAAAAATAGATATGTGGTTTTCAGAATGATCATTTCTATGAGTGGATTGACGTCTTGCATTTCGTTACGGTTTATGTTACCGTAAATATGCTATTGAATAGCTGAATAAAATCATGAAAAATTGAATTGTTTATATTAGAAATTAACACTTAAATGAGTAGTTATAAAATTTCAGTTCAAAATTTTCATTTTGTTTAAGGTGTTTTCTAGATGTAAAGAAGATACCTTTGATCCATAAGTAAGAGAAATTCATGGGTTCATTTAAAAAAAAAACAAAATATTATCGAATTATACTACATTTTTAAAATTAAAAGATAAAAAAATATAACAGTAGTTGCAAAGGAAAAACTTTTTTAAGAAAATATTAACCATCATCAAAACATTAAATTCTAAAATATAAATCATTGAGTAAATCTTCAACCTTTGGATTAATCTTAAACTCTAAGATTTATGATTAATCCAAGGGTTTAGAGTTTACCCAAGGGTTTAGGATTTAGGGATAATGTTTTCTGACGGTATTATAAATATTTTTTAAAAAGTCAAAGTTTTATCCAAGAATTTATAGTTTATGATTTAAGATTTAATGTTTAGTGTTTTGGTAATAATATTAAAAAAATAAATTTATTTTTGAAACTAATTTTTTATCTTTAAATTTTAAAAACATAATATAACTCGAAAATATATTGTTTCCATTTTTAAAAAGATACCTAGAGATTCATTCTAAAGAGTGAACCCAAGAATTACTCCATAGGTAATCTATGTCTTTCGAAGCTCCTTCTATTTGTTTTTCTATCATTCAAATAGTTTGGTTTCATCTTTCTATTAGTTTCTTAATTTTACAGTTTGATTTTAATATTTTGTAACTTTGTAACTGAATTAATAGTACTTTAATGCTTTATGTTAAATGTAGCTAACTCTTGTATTTAAAATAAGGTTATATTTTATGGAACCAAAAGATATACAAATATCAAGAAAGATGATAAAAATAAATATACTCTCTCTCTGTTTCATTTTGTTGTCGTTTTAGGTTTTTCCACATAGATTAAGAAAACATTATGAGTTTTACATAAATTCAAAATAAAAACACAATTGTTTATATACCTAACCACGTTTCAATCAATAGAAAAATCTATACTATTATTTGCGAAGTGATTTTTCGCAACGGAGCTCTCACGTTAAAAGTTAGAGTGGTTAATATCGATATTACCCTTAATGAATAAATATATAAATCAGCCAATAATAAAAACGAACTTAATATTTATTTGATTAGATAAATGATTTAAATTAATAATAATGATAAGAATTATCCATAATCTAAATATATATTTAAAAATAAAAAGATAATTTCTATATATATTGTGTTGTTATCCGGAAAATATATTTAATAAAAAATTAAGTAAAAACTTTAATTGTATATAATTGAAAATAAAAAATTTTAAAAAATTATAATACGTAATTATTTTCAATGATTTTTCACAACGGAGCTCTCACGTTAAAAGTTAGAGTGATTAATATCGATATTACCCTTAATAAATAAATATATAAATCAGCCAATAATAACAATGAATTTAATATTTATTTCATTAGATAAATGATTTAAATTAATAATAATGATAAGAATTATCCATAATCTAAATATATATTTAAAAATAAAAAGATAATTCATATGTATATTGTGTTGTTATCCGGAAAATATATTTAATAAAAAATTAAGTAAGAACTTTAATTGTATATAATTGAAAATACAAAATTTAAAAAAAATTATAATACATAATTATTTTCAGTAATTTTTCGCAACGGAGCTCTCACGTTGAAAGTTAGAGTGATTAATATCGATATTACCCTTAATGAATAAATATATAAATCAAGCAATAATAAAAACAAATTTAATATTTATTTGATTAGATAAATGATTTAAATTAATAATAATGATAAGAATTATCCATAATCTAAATATATATTTAAAAATAAAAAGATAATTCCTATATATTGTGTTGTTATCCGGAAAATATATTTAATAAAACATTAAGTAAAAACTTTAATTGTATATAATTGAAAAGAATTTTTTTTAAAAAAATTATAATACGTAATTATTTTCAGGGATTTTTCGCGACGGAGCTCTCACGTTAAAAGTTAGAATGGTTTATATCGATATTACCCTTAATGAATAAATATATAAATCAGCCAATAATAAAAACGAATTTAATATTTATTTGATTAGATAAATGATTTAAATTAATAATAATGATAAGAATTATCCATAATCTAAATATATATATTTAAAAATAAAAAGATAATTTCTATATATATTGTGTTGTTATCCGGAAAATATATTTAATAAAAAATTAAGTAAAAACTTTAATGGTATATAATTGAAAATAAATTTTTTTTAAAAATTATAATACGTAATTATTTTCAATTAAAAGAATATAATAATATAATATAATGATATATATATATATATATATATATATATATATATATATATATATATATATATTTGTGAAGTTATTTTAGTCTCTGGGCTCACACGTTAAATAAAATTTATTTTTATATTTTTATATATAAGTAATCCTTAAACATGAATTTATCATAATAAAATAAAAAATCATTCAAAAACAAAAAAAAACGTATTTGGCAAAAATAAATTTTAATTGTATTATTATCTAAATTAATATTATTCTTTTTATAAGATCAAATTTTGAATGTATATTTATCGATTCAATTTTTCAAATTGAAAGATATATTTCTATATTTCTATATTTTTATTAATTAAGAAGAAAGGAAATAGATTTTAGATTTTTTAAAGTTTAAAAGGTAGAAGTATATTTTTAATTTGTGAATAAATTTATCATGTAAAAAAATTAATGTTTTAGGTTAATTTTTTTGGATGCAAATATCATTTATTTTGATGATTTTTAAATAGATTTAAAGATAATTAAGCTCGCATGTGCGGGCAAAACACCTAGTAAAAATATATAGAAAGTTAATAAATTTTACATCTAAATTATAAAATGATATTTATTTTAAAATAAAAAAATTCTCTAGCTATAAAGACATAGAGAGAGAGTATATTTTTCCACTTAAATGTAGCTAATTTTCTATTTCGTGCATGATATGCTGTCAAGGGCCGTTTTTATTAATCTTGATTTGAATTGGCATATATCTATAATTATTATATTATCTGATATGAAATTATGATTAAACTATAAGGAAAATTTCAGTAAACCTAAATATCTACTTGTAATTCAAGTAGTGGGATGGAACAATATTAAATTTAGAGAATTATATGACAATTTTGCAGGCAACTATTGTGAGTCATGATATTTGTAGGATTTGGTTTTATGTAAGGAGATAATATTTTAAACTTATTGTGAATTTAAAATTATTTTATTGAAGTCGGATAACCATTTTGGCAGTAGTTTAGAAAAACATAGCAAACTACAGATGAGGATAGTTTTTAAAAAAAAAAAACCAACATGCCTAAGCATTATACAAACGGAAAAAGTCTGACTCGAGAAAAACACTCCCATCATGTTTACTTATGCTTTTCGTGTCTTCTTGACCACCTTCGAAGTAGCTGAAAGGAGAGGCTTCTCAGTGGCAGGACCACTTGAAGATGTTTCTGCAGATGACTTTTCCACACACTTATTACCTTCTACGCCAACTTTAGGAAGGGTTGAGATGTTCCAAGGCGTATCGTCTCCGTTATCATCGTCACCATCCTGATTAAAAGAACCACATATCATTACATGCATTCTACGGAAGAAGAAAATGAAATAAATGTGGCATACTACATCGATATATGATAAGTCAGGTAGTGGCAGACGGTCACACTCGTTCATGATGGTTGGCAGTGAAGTTGTACATGCTTATGCTGACCTGGGAGTTGTATGTCTTACCAACCATGTCCTCAATGAAAGGAGGTGGCTGAGTCTCCTCTGGGTTAACTCACTCTCCAGCATATGGTTTAAAGACATTTGACATAAGATCTGAAACCAAGTGAATGATGCTACTACGTACCAGTAGATGACCAGTTTCATAGGCGCGTATGTTATGTAGTTTCCTCATACTTCCATTGAAAGCCACAAATAGACCCTCATCCGTGTCAGCAGCAACGCTCACCTCCACACGGTACCTTGTAAAAAATTGAATGAAAACCATGTTGGGTGTATGTATGAATTTCAAAAAAAAAAAACCAAAAAAAAGGAGGAGCCAATATACCGGAGCACACCAACAGCGGTTGTGTTGTTGCAGGACACGCAGGTAAAATATGAGACAGTTCTTTGGAGCTTCTTTGTGCACTTGGAGCGGGAGAAGTAACACCAGCCTTTGTCCATATTATTTCCAGTCACCTTTCCAGTGCCATGACACGTTCTTTTCTTGGGGACTGTCACTCACTGTACTTTCACAGCAGTTAGTTCACAAACAACCTCTGCAAGATGAGGGTCAGCATTACTATTAACCGGGTTCAGTGATAAGTATGAGATGAACAAAAAAAGAGATGATGTTATGCAGAGAAACGGTTAACGCATCAATTTTGGTTGAATCACTAAACAAAATCACCAGAGGAGAGTCGGAAACCTGTCGTTCTGATGGCACCGAGCCACCTCAAATCTGCTTAGTGTGAACACTGAACCAGCCTTGCGTAGTTGTCTAAAGCGAGGAGCCGGTGAACATTCACAGTGGAGCATGAGAGTAGCCTGAAACAATGGTGGGAAAAATCATCATGAACAAACGTTTCAAAGTTGACTTCAGTGAAGATTATGAAATGAATAAAAAGTTCCATACTTGGTCATTTGAATTGATAAAAACAATATGATTGAGAGATCTAAGATCTGAGAAACCACAAACGTTTTTTTTTCAACATTCAAATATATTAAACCAAAATAAAACAATAAAAAGTTAGATTATGTGATGAATAAAAAGTTCGATACTTGTTACCGGAACCGTTAAAAACACTATGATTATGAGTTTTTTAGATCTGAAAACTCTGAGCATCAAAGAGGAGCATGTCCACCCCATCAACTCCCCACCACGCTTGAAAGCCTCCCAGAATTTCAGCGGACCTCCACGGTGGATGAACATCGGCCGGCCTTAAGATCACGAAGAAAAACATATGTAGTTGTCATTCTACTGATTTTTTTTTTTTTGTAGTATCACAAATCATAAACTGTAAATATGATATTCTAGGGATACAGGACTACCTATTTATAGGTCTGAAAGCACCGCCTTAAGCTTGGGTAACATTGAATGCGGCGTTATCGTTGATATGAGCCTTGATGGATTGAAGATGTATCTTACATGCAATAAATGTAGCTTCGAAAAGTTTGGGAGGATGGGAAAAAACGCGAAACGGTTGTATCGAAGCGTAAGTCAAAGTCTCTACACGATGATTCATCTCTTTCGACTTTCTAAATCTCCATTGTTGATTGAGATAGTGAAAAATCGAGGAAGACGAAGAAATCCTAATTTCAGAGATTGTCTATTGAGAAGAAGACTCTATGTTACTATTGGGCTAAATGCTAAATTTTCAGAATAACAAAATAACAGTCCAGCCCATTAAAAATAAACCAAAATAAAAACGAAAACAACATACCTCTCGGATGGCCACGTGTCATGCAGGTAGTCATTTATTTAGTGACGTGGAGGACTCAAGAGAGAATCAACAATTCTTTATAATAATAGATAGATAGATTTACTTTCATAATCTGATTTTCTACTATTTTTTTAATACTTAACTTTTTTTGTTTACAGATTTTAGTTGCATTATTTATATTGTATATGTACTTTTGTGATTAGCTTTTGAGAAAAAACACTTCTTGTAGAATTGTTGTGTAACTTTGGTATGTGTGGATTAGATGATTAGATCCATTATATGTATTGTGATTTGTTTTGGATTTGCAGTGTGATTAAATGATTAAAACTCTTAACTATTATTAGATTAAATTTATATTAATTTGTAATATTATTGTACAGTAATAGTTTGGAAAAAGAAAAAGAAATATTTTTAATATATAGTAGCATGTTTAGAAAGACTCCAAAAGGGAAAACTGAAATATAGATTGTGGAGTAATAAATCTTGGATTTTTCACAACCACCCAACCAAAGAAGGTCATATCTTCAATAAGAAGATTGATTGACACGTACGTTTCTGGCCTTACAAGTCACAGTTCTACATCAATAATCAAAAGTCTAAATAAAAACGTGAAAAATTCATACTGTTGTCATTCGTCAACAGTCAAACACGATTCGCTGGTTGTTCTTTCAGTCGTTCGTACAATAGTTTGTTTGGATTATTTCAATTCGTTTCTAGAATAGAAATACAATATATTCATGACTTAATCTCCTTTTATATAAAAACAAATACAAATCGTTGTTAAATAAAGAAAGACCAATTAGTTTTGTCTTACTGAAAAATCAGCGAACTTACAAAAATATATAAAATTCAACGACCACTATTTTTGTTCTTTCCATTATTTCTTTCTTGTAATATACAGATATCTAAGGATCAAATCTTGTCAAATATGACAGGATTCAATAATAACCTTACTTTGGGCACGGCCCTTTTGATTTTGTTTCAACTATGCAGCATCGTATCTTGCACCACAAGCACCTCAATCACCAGAAACCACACGATACGAGACGGAGACTCACTGATCAGCGAGGGTGAAGTTTTCGAGCTTGGATTCTTCAGCCCGAAAGATTCAACATCCAGGTATGTCGGAATCTGGTACAAGAACATCGAACCTCGAGCAATTGTCTGGGTAGCGAATCGAGAGAAGCCATTGTCTGATCACAACGGGGCCTTGAAGATTGCTGATGACGGGAACTTGGTGCTCGTTGACGGAGAAAACAACACCGTTTGGTCCACAAACGTGCCGCCCAAGTTGAACAACACTGTTGCTGTTCTGTTGGAAACAGGGGATCTGGTTCTGTCTTCAGATTCAGACAGAGACTCTAGGTATTGGGAGAGCTTTAACAACCCAACTGATACGTTCTTGCCAGGTATGAGGGTTAGGGTGGACCCTTCAAGCGGAGAGAATCGCGCATTTACATCATGGAGATCCGAATATGATCCTTCACCAGGAAGGTACTCATTAGGTATTGATCCTATGGGAGCACCAGAGATTATGATTTGGGAGGGAGAAGCAAGAAAATGGCGAAGCGGTCCGTGGGACTCGGTTATCTTTACCGGTATACCGGATATGTTCCGTGTCACAAACTACATTTACGGGTTTAAACTCTCTTCTCCTCCTGAACGAGATGGTAGCGTGTACTTCACGTATGTTCCATCAAATATCTCTGACTTACTAAGGTTTAAGATTAGGTTTGATGGCGTAGTAGAGCAGTTCAGATGGAACAAAGATTCCAGGAACTGGACTTTGCTTCAATTAAAACCAAGCACGGAATGCGAGAAGTATAACCGTTGTGGTAATTACAGCGTATGTGATGAGAGAAAAGAGTTCGATTCCGGTAAATGTAGTTGCATCGATGGGTTTGAGCCGGTGAATCAGAATCAGTGGGACGACGGAGACTTCTCCAGTGGGTGCAGAAGAAGAGTTCCTCTGAACTGTAGCCAGACTCTGAGAGAAGACGAGTTCATGGAACATAGGGGAATTAAGTTGCCTGGTTTTGGATCGGTTGTTCCCCTTAGCAATTCAGAAACTTGTAAGGATGTATGCGTGAGAGATTGCTCGTGTAATGCTTATTCGTTTGTTAGAGGGATCGGATGCATGATTTGGACTCGAGATTTGATGGATATGGAGCATTTTGAGCATGGTGGACAGTCTATCAACATCCGGCTAGCTGAATCTGAATTAGGTCTGTAAAATGTTTGAGTAGTCATAAAACATTTTAAAGATTCAACATAACTAAATGATTTTTTCTTTTTGTGCGAGTAGGCGGGAAGGAAAACTCAAAACTATGGATAATCATTTTAATTGTTATAGGAGCCTTCTTGCTCGTATTATGCATCTGGATCTTGTGGAAGTTCAAGAAAAGAGTTAAAGGTAAATCTCTACTCACATATAGTCTTGTTTTAAGAGGATTAATTGCATAAGCTAAGGCACTGACAAAATAAAGGTGCATAAGCTAAGTGATCAATTATGTGTAGGTAGTAGAGTTTTCTTGTAATATTTTCGTAATTTGTAATAGAATAAATCAGCGTTGCAAAAAACTGAGATCAATTAATTCATGATATGTAGCTATATTGTGGAGGAAGAAAGACTTTCCGTTTTCTGAAATGGAAGAGAAAAATGATTACTCGGTTAAGTCTTCAAGCTCGACGATCCAAGTTCTGGTAGGAGATCTAGTTGACACACCTGATTTGCCACTTTTCAGTTTCAACAGCGTAGCCTCAGCAACGGGAGATTTTGCTGAAGAAAACAAGCTTGGACAGGGCGGATTCGGTACTGTATTTAAGGTGAAGCATTAATTTGAAAAGTACAAGTAATTTTTGTGAGACTAATGTTGGGATGGGTCGTAAGGTTTTGATCTTTATGTAGAAACTTATGTGTTATGTTTGGAACAGGGAAACTTTTCTGGAGGAAGAGAGATCGCGGTGAAGAGACTATCAGGGAAATCTAAACAAGGACTAGAGGAATTCAAGAACGAGATCTTACTGATCGCAAAACTCCAGCATCGAAATCTTGTTAGATTAGTAGGATGTTGCATTGAAAACAATGAGAAAATGCTTCTCTATGAATACATGCCAAATAAGAGCTTGGACCGTTTCCTTTTTGGTATGGTTTCTTTTATAACATTTTACAGATAAAATTTTGAAAGTTTTCTTGATTGAGTATCTAAATTGACCTTTGCGTAGATGAGAGTAAACGAGAAAGTT